GATAAGACCTAGGGAAGGAGGACTGCGTAACAATATGGCAGACTCTGGTCAACATTTCTAGCACACGAATGAAGGGGGGGTGAGAAGGCAAGGGTGGAGTGCGGAGGGTTCTCATGAAAGCCGCTAAAAAAGAGCACACCGTACCACATTTAATTAGGCAAGTAAAAAATTGTGACAGTGAAGGCGTGATTGGAGGATATAGGAAATGTGAACAGGCCAGAGCAGAAGGGGAGATATCATAACTGTTTAGCACACGTCTGGTCAAAGGATGGGCTTCACTTGGTTCTTTGACCAGTTGTAATATGGTGCGACGAATGGCAAAACTCACTGATGATGCAGGCGAAACGTCTGGAAAGGTACCACGTCCACGGTCCGACTTTGGAAATGATTATGCATACAATGGACTCCAGATAAGGTGCGTATCTCTAAGTCTTCCTACCAATATGGCCATGTTGCGGAAACAAGGTCAAGCAACTTCGGTGAGATAATAATAATGATGACTTGACCTTATTTTCGCAACTTAATCGGAGTGTCAGAGAGACCTATTAGAACGTACCTTGTCATGTGATAAAATAAGCAATGCGATTACATTACTATAGCAAATACAAGTTTGCTTCATCGACAATCCGAGCACTTAAAGTGATATGAGAAAAACCTAGCCTTCCTTGGTATCCGCGTCCACCTAGTCAATAAAGAGCACTTATGACCAAGTGGATTGAGTTTCGAGATTATGCCCTGCCCTAGCCATGTTCGAGTCCATCAAGAGAGGCTCAAAAGGCTTAAGTGAGGTCGAAACTGCCGGCTTGAATAAGAATATCGTTATTGAAAAAAGGCTATGCGTAATTCAAAGAAAACGTGAAACCTACTCATATAATCGGGAAAATCCAACTACCAATAGAAAATAATATAACCCCGACAGCGTTTTTTTTGCTTTAGAATGTACAAAGATGGAAGAATGTAGCTTTATAGCAACATTAAATGCCATGCGCAATAGCTGACGTGTTGATGATTGTTGAATTTAGCATCACTTCGAGTCGAGGTGTAATGAAGAGATTCGTATGCCAATCTGACAGTACATTATGGCATGATATTATTCATTATGCTGAGGATGAATCCTGGCCAAATGTCTGAGAATGCTCAAAATAAACGGATCGACTTTGGCAGAGGACTCCGAACGAAGAGAATGCACCTAAGTTACTGAAAACAAAATAAAGTCGCGAAAATAACAGCAGACCATTTGTACGCCAGAGAACGAAACCCCACCATTTTGACTTTCAAACGTTCGCCTAAAACTATTACACTCTTAAGCACGAATTATCGCATCTCTCCAAAAAAGGTCTCTTGCTCGATACATGCTTTTCAACAAAGGTGTAAAAAGTTTAGTCGGCGGAAACCAGAAGATTAAGGCTCAAAGTTATTCGGAGGCTTATGGATAAGTCACTTTAAGAGCCCGTTCCCACGCCGACACAGCACTTCTGTAGATGCGAAGAGTAGCTGCGTTTCAATTAGTTTTATGTGAAAACATTATCGGGAAGACCTTCATTTCGTGTGAAAATGCATGAAGAAATTCGTAGACTGATCTCACCAGAAGACAATTGAAGCTCGTATTGCAGCCATCCTCTTATGGTGAGATCGGCCTGAGAATCTCTTCTTCATGCACTTTCATACGAAATGAAAGTCCCCCAAGAATGTTATCCCAGGAGATTCATCTAAGCCCAGTTTCTCTTAGTATCCCTAACATAAGTGTTACTCAAAGGCTAGTTTTATAGTGAATCATTCGTTTGTCGAATGACGAGGCGCAACAGCAAAGTAAAAAGAGGGAGGGACGTATTAACTAATGTCTTGTCGAGACTGAGTTAGATCAAAAATGAATAGACGCTTTATTTTGTCCCATTCATAGGCCCACCGTAGTGCCAAGTTGGAAGATTCAAAAGATGGCAAGTAATGAATTACTTCAGAGTGGAAATTGATGGAGGCGAATTTTAACACAAACAAAGAATTTCACAGCCTAATAAATATAAATTTGGGAAGGATAAGAAGGTTACATTCAAAAAGCCCCAATGTCTGAGGCTTAATTACAAGGATCAAAACCAGTATTGATGCAACAATAACAAAAATATTAAATACTAAATCGCTATTTGATCAAGGTAAATTTAGCGACCGCAATCTTATCTTCATTTCAATGAAGGAAAATGGTCTAATAAAAGGATAGTTTAGTCATAAAAAAAA